ACCTGTTCTGCTTGCATCCCAGGGTCATTAGAGGATCTTGTGCGAAAGAGCTTTGCAAAGCCCTGCAAACAGACCAAGGAAGTGGCCAAGGAAGTGACCTGGCCATAGTCTGGCCTGCCCATGGGAGAGGGAGAAAGGGCAAGAAGGAGGCTGGCCTGCCCCAGTGTATCTCTGTACCAGTGTAGCCCTCAGCAGGCCATGGGGAGGACAGGAGCAGATCAAAGGCCACAGTTGTAAACAGCAGGGGAGGGCACCTCTTCCAGGCTGGGAAACTGCTGCAGATCAGCTCCAGCTGAGCGTCCAGCATCCACAGGGCCTGCCTGCCCTCTAGTGGATATAGGTGGGAGGTGCACCTGCTTCAAAGTCAACCTGCCCACTTAAAGGTAGGGTCTAGGGATGGCAGAATGCCACAGAGTGCCAGCTGTGGCATGAACTTTGTTGTCCTATAGAATTCCCAGAAAAATTTCCATATTCCTATACCCATTGTAAATATGAGATCCTAAGGTTTAGAGGTATGGGCTCGGTCAAGGCCTCACAGCTCTTAATGGTAGAGCAGGAATTCCTCTGTAGGCCAGGTTCTGTGGCGCCAAGGGCCAGGAGGACGTAGGTTCATTTTGGGGGGAAGTTTTGTCATGGCAAAATCAGGGCAGCTTGGCCGGGCGCAGTGGCACATGCCTGTGATCCTAACAACTCGGGAGGCTGAGGCAGGATGATTGCAAGTTTGAGGCCAGCCTCAGACGTTTAGCAAAGTCCTAAGCAACTTAGCAAGAGACCCTGTCTCAAGAAAAAAAAAATAAAGTGGGCTCCTGAATGTGATTCCCCAGTACTGCAAAAAAAAAAAAAAAAGAAAGAAAAGAAAGAAAAATCTTGCAAGATTGCAAGATTGCATAAGGCCCTGGTTTCAATTCCCAGCACAAGAAAGGAAGGAAGAAAAAACATACTTAGCCGGGTGTGGTGGTTCACGCCTGTAATCCAGTGGCTCAGAAGGCTGAGGCAGGAGGATCGCCAGTTCAAAGCCAGCCTCAGCAACTTAGAGAGACCCTCTCTCTAAATAAAATATTAAAAAGGAGCTGGGGACGTTGCTCAGTGGTTAAGCACCTCTGGGTTCAATCCCTGGTACTAAAAAAAAAAAAAAAAATCTCTCGGGTGGTACGAAAACAGTAGCAGTCTGTACTTTGCCGACCCCTGCTCTAAGATGTAGGAGTCCATCTCTAAAATATTCATGATCAACTCCTCCCATCTGACTGCTCCTTCAGGCTCCTCCCCTCAGGCTTGCCAGAACCCAGGGTCCTGTGCTCTGCCCTCTGACCCCTCTTCCAGGGACCCATTCATTCAGGGAAACTGGTGCAGGAGCCTCAGTGCTCGCTTTCCTGCAGCCCCTTAGCCACCAGCTTTGGTCTGATGGCCCCACGTGGCTCAGAGGGCCATCAGGTTCCATACCTGTTTGTTCTGGAAGCCATTTATTTCCCTTCTGCAAACCCCTAGGAGTGACAACATGTTAGAGAGAGCAACAGGATTGGCCACCACTCTGATTTGGGTCTAAATCCTGCCTCTGCCACCAGCCATCATGTGATCTTTATCTTCCTCCCTCTCGGGGCACTCAGTGTGCTCTTGGCTGATGCTGCACTGTTGGAAAAGCAGGTGGCACTGACACAGGAGGAGAGCTGGGGTCTGGTTCCTGCTCTGCACTTGGGAGCCATATCTCTTGAGGGAGGCGTGGGATGCTGGAGGGTTAGCTGTTCACATTAGGATACACAGACCTGGATCTCAGAAGACAACGATTTGGAAGTCAACAGCATATGGACAGTCCCATAGCCACGGGCGAAGATGACGTCACCCAGACAGAAAAAGGGGAAAATCCTGAAAAACATTCACAGGACCAGTCTTAACTCTCTGTGGCCAGCAGGTGGCAGCATAGGCCATCAAAGGGGGCTTAGGAAAGCGCTGGTCTCCCCAAGGATTTAACCTCCTCCTTGAAGCAGAATCAGAGAGAGTTGGGAACATGTAGCCTTTCCAGCTGAAAACGCCCTGGATGAGGCTCACCCAGGTGTTATCTTGGCAAGAACACTCAAGTAGGATCTGGAAGGACAGCGCTCATCTGAGCAGATAGATGAGCTACCAGGTCCAAATCCTAATTCTACCCTTTATTAGATGTGGCCTTGTGGCCTTGGGCACATTACTTAACCTGTGCTTCAGTCTCTTCAACTATAAAACAGGGACAATGTTAGCATCTGTATGCCCAGGGTTGTGTATTGAACAACAATATGAGAAAAGCTCTTAGAACAGTGCTGGGCACATAGGAAGTACTTAGAAATACTAGCAATTAATATTATCTTCAAGATCATCCCTGAATGGGAAATCTCCCAGGTCTTTCCTTCCCAGGAAGAGGTCCTAAGACCTGAGCCTGGGTCTCAGAAAGAGAGCAGCCATGTCTGATCAGCAACAGGGAGAAGGGTCCTAGCAGAAGTCCACATCCGGTCTCTCCAGGGGCCTCAGATTTCAGAGGTCATGCCCATGGAATGGTGGGCTCAGAAGGCCTGTCCTCCTTCCCTTGATGTCCCTAGCTTTGTCCCTGTGAGGGGCTCCTAGATCTTGAAATGGGTTAAATGGGGGCGGGGGTGCAGAGAGGCCCTAGGCTCTGTTTCCGTTTCCCTGCCTTGTCGCTACTTCTCAGGGGTCAGGAGGAGGGCCCAGACTCTGCCAATTTAGCAACTGCCTGGGCCTCTGGGGACAGGAGTCTGAAAACAACTACGGGGCAGACACGGTGGAGGTCAGGCGCTTCTGAGCAGCCTGAGCTGGAGGGGATGGGGGTTTAGCCCCAGCTGTCTGAGCACCTGCCTGGCACCCCTTCCTGCTTGTGCTGCTCAGAGCTCGGCCCCTTTCCCAGCCTGCAGCCCTCACCCAGTGTCAGGGGAAGAAGCCACACCACCCTGCCAGCCCCCAGTAGAGGAAGTGAATCTGGGGGAACTGGAGGTTCCCAATTTGGGAGGCATTGGATACCTCACCTGGCCGGTGACACCAGGAATACCATGCTGGATTGCCAGGAGACTATGGCTCAAGATCCTCCCCCAAAGTCCCTCTCCTGGAAGGAGCAGGGTGCAGGAGGAATTGCTGCCACCACCCTGGAGGTGCCAGAACCTGTCCTGCCCGGCTCCCTCTGATTTCTGTAAGCCACAGCGAGATGCCTAGGGGGTGAGCAGAGAAGCATTTCTTGGGCCTGGGGGACCCGAAAAGGATGAAATGGGGGCCTGATTTTCAGTAGGGGGCGTAGTTAGTCCTTTCTGGATTCAGGGAATGGAACCCAAACTAAGTGGCTAGATAATTGGTGAGGCACAACCCAATGAAACGCAGAGCCCCTGGTTCAAAAGTATTAAGAACTCCAAGGAGGGCTGGAGATGGGGCTCCCTGCAGGGTGCTTGCCTAGCATACGTGAAGCCCTGGGTTTGATCCCCAGCACCAGACACACACACACACACACACACACACAGAATTTCAGGGAGGCACCACAGAATATTCAGCCAAGCATGGTGCCTTCTGAGTGCCCTTCTGAGCACAGGGCCTGCATGACTGCACCAAGGCGCGTTCCTGAAGCCAGCCCTGCAGAGAACACTCAGTTCTTAAGCAATTACAAGGTGTTAGATTTTTATAGGTACTATCTCATTTAACTGTCAAACAACCTTATGGAGTAGGCTAATCAAGTTCTCTGCTTTTGGTGTGGTGCTGGGGATGGATCTCAGGGCCTTGGGCATGCTAGGCAAGTGTTCTACTGCTGAGCTACACCCCAGCCCACAATTCTCTTCATGGATTTAAAAAAAAAAAAAGCTTAGAGAAATTAACTCCTGGCCCAGGGTTGCATATGGTGGTGAGAGGCATCTGGACCAGACTCTTCCTAGCCTCTAGGATGCTGAAGGGTTACCGGGAAGCATGGCGTTTGAGTATGGGCACCCCAGAAGATTGATTGACCTGCTCAAGTGTGACCTGCCCTGTGCCTGAGTTGCTGGCATCTGTAGGGGCCCCAGAGCTTCAGCGCAAGGGCAATACACAAAGCATACATGCTCAGGATAGGCATGCCTGGATCCATATTCAGCACTGTCCCACGCTAAGTGACTGCGAAACTCACTTCACCTCTGTGGGCCTCAGTTTCCTCATCTGCAAAATGGAGTAACAACAGCTACTTCGTGTCACCCTGAGGACTGTGATCTTGTAGAGATAACGCCTGACATGTAATCAGTGCCCAATAAAGCCTATTCCACTCAGCAAAGTGCCTCCCACTCTCACTTTCTCTGTCTTCCACAAGCCCTGCTCTCGGCCCCCTCTCGGCCCCTCTTTGAAGCAGCCCCAATTCCCTCTCTCTCTGGACTGCTTCTCCTCCAGGTGCGGTTGGAGGAGGCCCCTCAGCTGCTTCTCTCTTAAGTAACATGCGGCAGTCACTGGGTTTCTAGGCTTGTTGCTAATCACGCCAGGAAGAAGTCAATCAAGCTGCCAAGTGTGGGGAAATTTCTGGATTCTTAGAGTCCCTGCGGCCTAACTCCTTCCTGGGGCCTGCAGGGGAGGGGGCAGCCACCAGCCCTGGTGCTCACAGAGCCCTTGCTTCCATTCCTCAGCAAGGGTCTTGCCCAAGTCCCCCCTCTTCCCTCCTCCCACCCTCTTTCAGGGAAAACCAGGACCACCCCTTTTATAGGGAGCCTCCTTTCCTGGCAGCCTCCCACAGGGGTACCTGGCAGGACCACGCACCTTCTTGTCCCGAGGGGTGGTTTGGGTTTCTGAGGACTCCTGGCTGAGCTCCCTCATCTCTTGATTTTCACCCCCCCTCAGGAACAGTTTCCCGGGGACAAGGTTCCCTTCCAGACCTTCCTGGTGTGGGGGGGGTGCAGGGGGGGATACCTCAAGTCTGGAAAAAACTCCTTGGTCCCCAGAAAAACCAACAATTCTCCCTTCTCCTCCCCCAGAACCCAGCCAGCTGCTCCTTGGGCTATTTGGGTTGACGCCTGCCCCTTGCCCTCTTTCCAGGAGCAAATATTGGATCAGGTCCCTTCGCCAGCTGTTTAATTAAGAGCAAAGTGGGTCGTGATCTGCAGGTTTGTGAATGGCTGGAATCCTGGGAAAGAAGAAATGCTTCGAGGTATCAGTGCCCCAGGGGCCTGTGGGCGGGCTGCCTGGGGAAGTACCCATTCCAAGTCACAGAGCCTTTCCTTCCCGTGGCTACCTGCGGCACTGCCAGGAACCACCCACCTGTGAGGCTGGGCTGGGCACCTGGAGAAGCTGGCCTCTTGGAATGGGTCTTTCTTACCAGGCCATTTGGCACGCCGGTCTGATTTGGGACAGCTTGGTCTATTAGGTATTGTGTCTGGTCACATCTAGTCACTCGGCTATACGCACCACCGCGGCCTGGCCGCTGGGGCGTTTTTACCTGGTGGTCACCGACACGTTCAGATGATTTTAACTGGACATGCCTGCTCATTTGGATGTAGGGTCCCTGGACCTAGCTGATCACCCAGGTGTGCCCAAGCTGAACAGGACTGGTGTCTGCCTGTCATGCAGCCAGTTCTGGTCATGGGGCTCACTCCCCCTGCTCACCCCCCCCCCCACAAGGGACAGTGAGGATAACCCTGCTGACCCTCCCTGTTCTGCCCACTCCCCTCCCTTGAGCCACACCTGGCTGTGCTGGGGCCCCAGCCCCTCCCATGCTGCAGGGAAAGGGGAAGCTGATCTAGGAGGAAATTAGGGAAATTAGCTGTGACTCCAGGGCTGGGTTCACTTGGGGTGGTGGCAAAGGACTCCCTGCTGGTCCTAAGGAGCTATTTGCCGGGGGCTCCTTTCCTCCAGGCCCCGGTGGGGGTGGGACAGCTATTTTCCCTCTGTGATGGGCACATACTAAGCCAGGCCAAGAGCTGAGATTTCTAGCAAGAGGTGAGAGGGCCACAGCTTGCCCAGGCATTTCTCTGGGCTGTGCTAACCTCAGAGGACAACACCATGAGTCACCACCACATGGCTGTCCTCACCTCTCCCTGCCCACATTGAGGGAGGGGGAGGGGCAAAAATCATAGTGTTGACCTGGGGCCACTCAGAACCAGAACACCCACCCGGGGAGGGCCGGGCTGGGGGAGTTTTCTGTGCCGTTTCCTGCCCTGGGCACATCTGGATGCTGGCCACCAATCCAGTGGCTCAGTCTTAATATGAAATGTCATGCAAATACACACTAAGCCGCATCCACATTCTCTGCGCGCCCTCGGAGGTTTCAGGGGCTCTGGCCTCTAGGTATCCCCTGTCTGTCCCCAGCAAGCTCACCTTCCTGCTTATGCTGGATGATTTGGTCTGTGGCTCTGTCCTTTCCCATCAGGATCCAGAGCCACAGCATGGAGCATCCAGGCCCCCGCAGCTGCCCTCTGTCCCCTCTCCTCCTGCCCCCTTCCTCACCCTGGGCAGGGGCCATTGGGTAGGCTGGAGAAGCCTGGGGCTTCCTCTCTGTCCTCAGGCTGGTGGCCACGGATGGCTGGAGACATGTGGGTGTCCAGGGAGGCTAATCACTTGGCACCTTTTCATCAGGACATCTTTTAAATATTTGTTCAAAATAGGCTTAGAAGGGAGGCCAAGGGTTCTGTGGGAGTGGAAGTGGGGCGAGAAGGGTGGCCGGGCCAGCCTTGTCCCTCTTCCCACCCCAGGCTGGTTTGCATTGCCTGCTCAGCACAGCACAAGGCCTGCTGGTTTGCGGACCCCAGCATCGAGTCACTACAGAAGCTCAACAGTGAGGGGCGTTTGCCCAGCACCCTAAAAGGTCTGTAAAATGATTTCTCCTACCACACATCTGGTTACATGGCCGGCTACCCCCGACTCCATGTGGCTCTAAGGCCTCTGGGGGCATCTCATCTAGTTCCTTGTATACCACACCAGCACCGATCCCATCAGTCTTTGTTAGGTTTCAAACCAATGGAGTGGGGTGTGCATGTGTGTGAGTGTGTATTTGTGTGTGTGTGTGTGTGTGTGTGGCAGGTGGGTGGAGGTGTCCAGCTGTTCTCAGACAAAGATGGAGCCAGACCTCAAGACCCCTCTTTCTAGAAGTCCAACCCCACAATCTCCTAGGAGCCAAACTGACTCATTTGTTCTCATTCGGTCCTGGGGGTCCAGTTAGGAAGAAGTAGGGCTCCCTCCTCTCCTTCAGTGCCCTGCCACTTCCCTTTCCCAAGGCTCCCAAATTGCTTCCAAGGTCATGGGAGGGCCTGGGGGGCTGGAAGCTTGCAACTCGCCCCTCTAGTTACCCTTCTCCTCGGCAGGGCCCAGAGCAAGGCCTCCCCCCCTGCTCTGACCCTCCCCACTGTCTCCCTATTCCTCCTAGGAGGAGTGGGTGGGTGCCTCCATGAGGTTGGGATTTTGTGTTTAATTATGGAGCAGGAACTTGGCAATGAGGCAGCTCCCAGTAGGGTGTGCAGTGTCTCTCGGCACCCTGGCTAATGAGATAGTGCCAGCCAGCTGACAGAGGCAGGCTGTGTAATTTACGGGTGCCTAATTACTGTGGAGGCTATTGCTTTTAATGAGATCAAGAGCAAAGGCCTCTCCCCCCCCCCAACCCCACTGGCTGGGGAAGTGGAGTTCTGGTCTCTCTCCTACCATATATCAACATGGCTGGCTACTCTGCAGCACTGGGGGGTCCATCCCAATAGTCTTGATTTCTGAATAGCTGTTTAGAGCAGGGCCCTGAGCCAGTTGGTGCTGGGGAGAAACAGAGAGGAAGTTCAAGGTTCCCTAACTGCTCCTCAGACTAAGTCCCCTTCAGTACCTGTCACAAAAGCCACCACAGTCAGCACACAGATCAGCTTCACCCAATGGATGGTGGCTCCTAGAACCTTTTGAGAATCTCTTAAGAGCTTCTCTCTTTTTCTCTGCAGCCAACAATGACTAATACTAACCATCCTCTATGTTCCAAGAACTACTCTAAGTTATTTACATACATATTTCATCTGTCCTCACCATGACTCCACGGGAACAGTGCTTACCTTATTCCCATTCTACAGGTCAGGAAATCAAGGTATGGAGTGAAAAATTTGTTTCTGTCACACAGAGAGAACTTGAATTCAGCAAATGGATCACACTTGAACATGCCAATTTCTAGAGACTCTGTCTTTAGAAACATATTCTGACTCCCCAAAACCTTCCTCTCTCTCTCTCTCTCTCTCTCTCTCTCTCTCTCTCTCTCTCTCCCTCTCTCTCTCAATGTTGGCATGTAACATTATGATTTGTAGACTCCGTGAAGTCCCATGTGGATGCCCTCCTAGAGCTCAGGGCTATCAAACTCCCCACATTTAGGAGGCCTGATCCCAGATTGGGAGATGCCCGAGGGCAGCAACTGTGACTGGCATCTCGCCCACTGAATAAACAGCACTTACTTAGTGTCAACTGAAGGGAGCAAAGGGAAAAGTGAAGGAGAGAGAGAGAGAGAGAGGCAGGGATCGAGGAGGTCAGAATGGAAATACTTGGGCAATCTACACAAAGCAAAATGAGATTTTGTTTGTTTGTTTTGGGGATTGAATCCGGGATCCTCTACCACTGAGCTCCACCCCTAGCCCTTTTATTATTGTTTTTCAAACATTTCAACACAGGGCCTTGCTAAGTTGCCAAGGCTGGCCTTGAACTTGTGATTCCCCTGCCTCAGCCTCCCAGGTAGCTGGGATCACAGACGTGCACCACAGCATCTGGCCCCAAATGAGATTCTTAAATCACAGTTCAAAAGTGGAGAAGAGCCCTCAGAGTCCAGGCAGGACCGGTCATGCCAACAGGATAAGGCACACAGATGCATGCAGCAAGATATCAGAGGACAGAGGGTTCCTGGTCCCATGGGGATCAGGGGTGGTGGCAGGACTAGTTGGGTGACCGCAGTAGCGCGCTCGGAGCCCTTCAGGAAGAAGTCATTAAGCGTGTACGCTGTGTCCCTTACGTCCATTGGCTTTGTTTGCCTTCTCTCCAGGGCAGTGAGGGCAGGAGACACGGGCCGGTGGCTGGCACAGTCCTCAGGCTCCTCCTCCTTTCAGCACAAACAGCTCAGAGCCACAGCGCGGCCAGGGCCCGTCCCCACTTTCCATCTGCCCCTCAGCTCACCACATCCAGGCCTCTGCCCAGCTCCTGCCTCCAGAACAGCCCTTGGAAAGGTCACCAATCTAGGGCGACCAACTGCTTCTGTTTGTCCAGGGCTTTCAGTACTAGAACTGGGAGAGTCCCAGGCAAAACGGGACAGTTGGTCACTTTACCGGTGGCTTCCTAATTGCCAAAATCAGTGGTGTCTTTCAGTCCTTAACTACCTTGACCTCCAGTCACAAGGGACCTCATATGTCATGCCTTGAGGAAGGGAGCCCCTGAGTGAACTTGAAGAGGCCCAAAGCTCCTCAAAGTGAATGGAGAAGATCGTACCTGCGTGTTTTCAGTTCCGGGGAGGGGGTTCCTCGGATTTCATTAGATTCTGAGCTTAGGACCAAGAGGCCCACTATTGGGAGCTATTGGAAGCAACTGGGCAGGGTAGCCCATTGTCAAGTTGTTGTTAAGGTGACTGACGGAAGCGAGGGTTGTGGGGTGTGAACAGAGGCCGGGTTATAGGAGGGCCTGCGGGGTCAGAGCTTGGCCTCCTTCCTTGGCCCTGAGCCAGGCCTCTGAGATTGTCTGCCACCTCTGCAAGCACCTGTCCCAGGCCCATCCGACATGCTTCCTGGATGCTTCTCAAAGACTCAGCCAAGATGTTCTATTGGCCCCTCAGAGTCTGCCTGGCCATAGCTGAACACAGCATCTATCTGAGCATACAGTAGATACTGAATAAATATTTCCAACCAGACTCAAGGTTAACTCTATGATGAATTTAGGAACTGGATTTTAGGGCTTGATTTTAGATCTTTCTAGGGATTGGTCAATCCTCTTTTACCCAGAAGCCTCATAATTCTTAAGTTCTTCAGAGAGGAAAAATCTATTTTTCCTCATTTATTAGTTGGAAAGTTGATTACATGCTCTAAGTGCACACTACAATACAAGTTGGAATCTTTGGTCCCATTCTAGAGGTAAGCAAACCATGGCCCAGGCCTAAGGAAATAGGCTAAGTGAGCCCAGATAAACCAGCTCTCTCCCTCCTCCCCATCCTGCCTGGAGGTCCTCCCGGTGACCTCCCCCACCAATGTTGCCTGTGTCCTCACCCCAGTGACCATTTCAGTCCTGTTGCTAAGGGACACTTTCCCATTTACTCCAGCCCTGTATGGTGGTTTTGTTGCCATGGCAATGCATCAGCCTGAAGGAAGAATATGTGTGTGTGTGTGTGTGTGTGTGTGTGTGTGTGAAGTTTGGAAGGCACTGCTGGATGCAGGGGGTGAGGTTCTAATTGGTTTGATGGTTGCTAGGGTCAACAGGCTTATGATTGGCTGACTCTGTTTATGTGGCCACCCTGTCCTAGAACTCTCTGGGGATGCAGTTGTCACCCCACTGAAGTCTAGAGTGTCATGCGTGATGTGTGTCTGTTCACATACCTGCACATTTAATGCAAATGGTGAAAAGAAGATGAATGCTTGGCCCAGAGACCAGGTAGGAAGTTCTGGGCTCTTGCTGGATTCACACTAGGACCAAATAAATGTCATTTTTCTCCAAATTACACCCACTCCCCATAAATCACTAGAAAACAATGATCTGAGTTCAGACAGAGGAGCAAGAATTGGCTCTACCTGGCCCAGTCCTGCTGTCCCCACTGACTCATACACCTCAAACCAGTTGGGCTGCAGTGGGTCCATCCATGCCGTGGTCTCCCTGCTGCCAATCTCTCTCCTCCCTGCCAAGGACGGACACGCTCTCTCGGTGAGCTTCTCTACCCTTGCTTGGCTTCCCATTTCGCATGTCTTCACTTGACTGAGGAGGGCCGTAAGCCAAACACTGGTGATCTCCTACACATGCAGATGGCTTGACAGTTCACAAAGCACCGTCATCTCCAGGGCCTTTCAATGCTCACATCCCAAGAGGTGGACATTCACACTATTCCCATTTTGCTGAAGAGGAGCACGGAGGCCCAGATAAACAGAGCACCTCTTGTATCTCAGGGGCAGAATCAGGTCTCCAGCCTCCCAGGGGCCCTGCGGTGCTTTTGGAGGCTGTGCCTGCTTGGGTGTGGGTAGGGCCAGAGGGGAGGAGAGGCTGTGGGAGGGAAGGAGATTCTCCCTGTCTGGAAGCTGTGGCTGGGATGCAGGAACGGGGCGGACTTGAACTTTGGGTTTCCAGAAGCTATTCAAATGTGCTGCCCACACAGTCTGTACGGGAGAGCTGTTTCCAGCTTCCCCACTCAGCCCTCAGGCACCCAGAGACGACCGTCCTAGCTGCTGAGTGGTGGCATGTCCCTGGCAGCAAGGAGGAGAGCCAGGATGGGAGCAGGGAGTGGGCTGGGCTGCTGCTGCCCCTCCCCTCCCCCACTGCCAAGCTCTGAGGCCTGCCAGCATCCCTGCTGAACTGCTAGGGCCACCAGGACCTCCCAGGGATGCTACAGACATCAAAGGCTGGCAGAGGGAAACAGAGCTGCAGAGCCCACAGGGGAGGGACCCCAGGAGCCAGGGGACCCTGGGAGTAGGGTGGAGGTGGGAATCCCAGCTACCAGGCTCTTGTCTGACCCTCTGCAAGGAGGAGTTAATGGGCTGCGAGAAGGAAAAGAGCATTGACTGGGTGCCAAGTTCCCATCCCATCGGAATCTCACAGCAGCCCCAGGGGAGAGGGACTGTTACCATCCCTGAGTTACAGTCAGGAAATAAGTCAGAGGTGGACCTGCCCAAGGTCACACTGTCTATGTGGCCTTAAAGCCCCATAGGGCTTGCTCCATGGGCAGCAGGGTAGACGTCCCTCCTTAGTGGGAGGCCCTAGGTGACGTGGCTTCTATAAACCTGGGCTTTTGAGAGACATGCGGAAAGAAAATTGGCATGGGAGGAGGGCTGGGGCCCCGAAAAGTTTGGAGAGAACTTTTGGAAGGGCATAGACAGGAAGCAGAAAAGTGAAGGCAGCCCAGATAGCACATACACAGGGACCTCTCGCCATCCAGCAGTAAGCCCACCCACGCACACGATGTCACTCTTATGCGGCTCCCCATTTCTCCCTGCGCATTTGCACAAACCCTTTTCTTTCTTTCTTTTTTTTTTGGGGGGGTGGTATGGGGGATTGAACTCAGGGCACTCAACCACTGAGCCACATCCCCAGCCCTTTTTTGTATTTTATTTAGAGACAGGGTCTCACTGAGTTGCTTAGCGCCTCGCTTTTGCTGATGGCTTTGAACTCGAGATCCTCCTGCCTCAGCCTCCTCCCGAGCTGGTGGGATTACAGGCGTGCGCCTCTGCTCCTGGCTGCACATGCCTATTTCTGTGGCTGCCAAATCTCTGCGTCCCATCCTCTGGGCTCCATGGAGATACCCACCTGCAGCTTAACCCTTTCTGCAATCCCAAGAAGCAAGACAATCCCTTCAGAACCGCCAACCTCAGAGATACTGAAATGCAGTTCCGTGTCAGGGATGGGGGATTGGGGATGGGTAGGTAGCGTGACAGTCTCTGAGCTAATGGCTGGCTCTGTAGTATTTAGGCTGTGACTGCTCCCTGTGAATTTGTTCCTGATTGTCTGGGGGCAGAGTTAAGGCCTTCTCCTCCATTCTTGCCAATATTGTCCTCACATATGACAGTCCTCTTTGTATCTCTCTTCCAGTAGACAGCTGCTTGAAAACAGGAACTGAAACTCAAAATCATCCCTCTAGGGGTTGGGGATATAGCTCACTTGGTAGAGTGCTTGCCTCGCATGCACAAGGCCCTGGGTTTAATCCTCAGCACCACACACACACACACACACACACACACACACAGAATCATCCCTGTAGCCCAAAGATCAATATAGTCCTTGGCACATGGCAGGAGTTCCATAAGTTTTTGTTGAATGAACAAATGATGGTAACCATATCTGCTATTTATTGCGTTCCTATATGAGCCAAGCCCTATGCTAGGCCCTAAGCATACATTGTCTCTACCATGAACAACTACACAAAACTGATTTTCGTATCTTTGCCCTGCAGATTGAAATGTCGACTCAGAAAGGTTAAGTCATTGGTCCAAGATGACACAGCAATACAAGAGAGTGCGATGAATAAAGGCACACTTCAAGTGCTCCAAGGCCCCACCTGCACTTTGGTGCTTCCAACCTTGCCTGTCTTTACTCCTGTATCTTCTAGAATCAAACAGGCACAGAGTTCTGAGGCTCTGTCTCCCCAATCTCTCTCAGATCAGTTGCCTCCTTTCGCCCTGCTGCTGCTGCTCTGGTCCACGCCTGCACCATTCTCACTAGGACCAGCCTCCAAACTGGGGTTTCCACCGCCACATATTCCTCCATCATGAGTCCTCCACTCAGCTGCAGGAAGGTTGTCCCGCACCACAGACCTGATGATATCGCTTTCCTCTGAAATGCTCCATGGTGCCCCATGTTTTGGCGGTCAGGGTCCTGGCTCCTTAGCCACGGTGCATGTAGCAGGGTCTTCAGGCCCCAGCACCTCCCTCCCTCTACAGTCTGAGCATGGGTTGGAACCTCCAAAACCACAAGCCAAAAATAAACCTTTTTTCTTTATAAGTTGATTAAATCGGGTATTTGTTATAGTGATGGGTAGCTAACTAACACAAGTCTCCTATTCATTTCCCTCCCTTGTTCGACCACAAGCTCCTGGAGGGTAGGGACTGGGTTTTATTCATATTTTGTGCTCAGAGACCTAGCTATTATTCAGCATATAAGAGATATTTAGAAAATATTTGCTGAGATCTCTGTCTCATCCCCCTGGCTCCTTGAAACTGCCCTTTGGCCACATTCTCTCTAATCCTCTCGTAAACACAGTCCTTAACCATAGTCCTTCCCCCTGCCCTGCCTGCCCCCTCCCTGCCTCCCTTCTCCCCAGTATTCTCATTGCTCGCACAGGGATTAGGGAGCCAGGCAGGTTTTTCCTTCCAGTCTCAAGGTTGTGGGTCCAACCACTCTTTGCAATTCTTTGACACTTGGCAGCTTCATTTTTATGAAGTGCTCATGCCAGGAAATCCGCATGCCCTGGCAGAGGAAACAGAGGTCGCAAAGAGCTGGGAGGCCCTCTATGAGATGCCCCTGCTGACTACCCGCTAGTCACTCTTGAGCATGGGCCCTGTGTCTTCTCTCTCTGTCTCTAGCTGAGGCCGATGTCTTCCTGAAGGAAATTGTTCTCTTCTTAACATCTCTCCCCAGGGAAAGGGGTTCAGGCCGAACACGTGCACACTGTGTGGCCTAACCCCTCCTCAAGAGACCTTGGCCCCTGATGTCCCTGACTGGGCAGAGGACACAGACCTGCTCGATTTGGTGTCCCCAGAGCTGAAGCACATCTTTTCTCACAACCCTCAGAAGGAAGCAGGCCTGGGAGGGGCCCAGATGAGGACATTGTGTCCTTCATGCCACCCCAGCCTTTTTTTTTTTAATCCCCAGTCAGATGGTGTGGGTTGAATGGCCATGCATGGACTCCCCCATGTCCGCACCCCCAGTACTGGGGATTAACCTCAGGGCACTCTACCTCTGAGCTATGTCCCCAGTCCTCCCCTTCACACGCACACACCCTCTGCATTTTTTTTGTTTTTAATTGAGACAAAGTCTCTCTGAGTTGCCCAGGCTCACCTGGAACTTGCAAGCCTCCTGCTTCAGCCTCCTGGATCACAGGGATTACAGGCATGTTCCAGCGTGGGTGCCTGGCATAAACTGGATTCTAATCATGAATTGCCACTAACTGCTTGTGGGACTTTGGGCCTGTTCAAACTCCTTTCTGGGCCTCAGTTTCCTCTTCTGTCAAATGGAAGCTGAACTAGCACTAGTTATTCTGTAAACCTTCTTAGATGTGTCTCAATTGGCCTGTGGGGTTTAACTCTGGAAAGGACAAACCGGATTACCCTTCAGGATGAGAAGTGTGAAGGATGGCTGGTAGCAAGGGTTTCACTGGGGCCCTGGAGACATGGAGTTGACATGGAAGGTAAGTGACAAGTCCCATTGGACAGAATAGAGTCCCAGAGTGACCGCTGTCTTGAAAATGGTGAACAGAACCTATATATGCACATCATGGTGCTAAGTGCTAGGTCCAGGATCAGACTCAGAGGGTAGGATCGCTACATTTAGAGATCTCCACTCTTGGGGAATCATGTATGGTGCCCTGGCCCCTGTCCTGGGGTGATCCAGTCTTGAGGGCCACATTCCCCTAGTCAAGGCTCTCAGGGACAGCCCTAGGAAGGAAACAGGAAGAGGCAACTGGACCCTGGTTCCCAGAGTGGGAGAAAGGGGTGGGCACCCGGACGGAGGAAGCCCTGGGGATTGGCAGCGGCTGTGGGCAGGGCGGGAGGGACGGGGGAGGAGTCAACTTGTACAGAGAAAAACTCTGGCGGGGGCCGGGCTTTTCCCTTCCTCCTCCTCCTCCTCCTCCTCCCTCCTCCTCCTCCCTCCTCTCCCCTACCTTCCTCTACCCCTCCCTTGCCCTCCCCGTCTCCCTCCTCCTCCTCTTCCTCCTCCTCCTCCTCCTCCTCCTCCTCCTCCTCCTCCTCCTCCTCCAGCTCAGGTTGCAGTTTCTCCGGGAGCCGCTCACCTTTCGGGAGCAGGGGAAGCGGCCCCGCGCCGGGGCAGGGACCCCAGCAGGGCGCAGGGCGCGGCGCCCAGCCCCGCAGTCTCCCGGCCGTGGCGGGCGGGCGCGCGGCGACCCAGGACACGCGCGGCGCGTCCCGCGGGAGGTGCGGTGAGTGCGGCCGGCGGACCGCGAGCTGCGCGAGCCGGGAGGTCGGAGGAGGGGGCACCGCGGCGCCCGGGGAAAGGAGCAAAGGTAAGCCGAGCGGCCCTTAAAGGCGCCGGTCTGCTTCGCCCCGGGGCGAGGGGTTGGAGGGCAGTGCCGGAGCAGCGAGGGGAGATCGGCGATCACGAGACGTGCGTGTGTGTGTTGGGGGGTGGGAGATGCCCTGGAAAGGCCACTCCCAAGTTCCAGGTGCTCTGGAGGGAAGGCTATTTCGCAGTCGCAGAACCCGCGCCCCGCAGGGACTCTCCATCTGGGACTCGCTTTGGCCCCTGAGCTACCGTCGGAACCCTGCAAAGCAAAGTTTTCCACCCCGTGAGAGCTAGGCGTTTTCTAAGCGCCCTTCCTCTGGGAAGGGCAAGGGTCAGGAGTCCCTGGTGACCAGAGGACCCGAGAGTGTGGGGCCAGATCGCTGCCTTGAAGAGCTTTCTGGGCTCTGGTGAACTTTCCAGATCTGCAGCATGAGAGGTGGAGGGGTGGGAGTCCAGAGCCCTGGAAAGAACGTGGGAGGACACGTGAAACCCTGCAGGTCCAGCGTCGCGGGTACGTGTTAAAGAGGGGCCGTTGGGGAATGTGCCTCTTCCTTCTCTGGACGACCGGGAAGTCCAGAGGGGCAGTGACCCCCCCCCCCCCCCGCGCCCCATCAGCAGTGGACAAAGGGTTAAGGCAGCCATGGGGAAAGAAGGGTGGGTGGCCTGTTGGGCTAAGGAGGTGTGGCTTGAGAATTCTGCTGTCTTTGGGGAAGACCATCAGGAATCTGAAATCCGAATGGGGTATGGGCTGCAGGCATCTGTTTCCCAACCTGGGGGCATGTTCCCTGAGCCGCTGCAGGCCTTGCAGTGGGAATTAGGCAAAGAGGCAGTGACCAATTTTCTGTGCTGTGGCATAAACACCCTCCTAGGCTCCAGTGATCTCTTAATTCTCTGAGACCTTCCTGACAGTGGGGATGGGAGATTTGGAGCTGAGGAGTGGGAGGCTAAGTCCCCAGAACCTCTTTGGCTCTGGGTGGTGCTATCTGCCCTGCATCCCCACCCCCAGCACAGCCTGAGCTACCTTCCCTGGCTTTCCCCATCTGTGGCCTGTGGCCTGATCCCTGTGACTCACAGACACCACGGACTTGCCCCTTCCCTGTCAGCACCCTGTGAGATTTGGCATGTGAGGCCTCCCCCACCCAGGCATGGGCACACAGCCGTTCCTGGACAATCCTTGAGAACACCTGGAACCTGACTGACAGGCATGTCCCCAGAAATCCCCCACCTTTACTCTGCCTTGGAAGGAGCCTGGGAAAATGTCGCCTGGGGTCAGGAGATTGCAAGAGGCTTGGGTTTGCATCCTGAAGGAATCTTAGAAAGAGGGTCACCTTGTCACAGCAAAGCTCTTTGCCTGTTACCTCCCAGAGATTCTGGATGACTGACTTCACCGCTGCCCCATAACCTGGGGGTGTCCCTGACCATGCGGTTGCTAGGACTCTCCCTGCTGGCTGCCTGTACCCTGCAGGAGGCTGGAAGAAGCTCTCCATCTTCTTCCCAAACTCATTAGGGTTTCCAGAGCTAGAGCAGATGGACATCGATAAGTTCTATTCCATTTCTGAATGCCTTCGTGACTGCTATTTATTGGCCATCTACTGAGTGCCAAACAGTGTGTCCCAACAACTTTGTGAAATACATGCTACTATTCCCATTTCACAGGCCAGGAAACTGAGACTGAGAGAAACTCTCCCAAGGTGGTGAGGAGATGGGATCCAGCCCACTTCATCCCTCCTCAAACCCCTACCTCAGCACAGGCAGGTCCCAGGTCACTCTGGAGTCCCTCAGGGGAAGGAAGGATGGGGGTGGTGTTGTAAGTAATGGGGCTCCCCTTTGTCCCATGCCAGGCAGAACCAGCCTTCACCATAGCTAGCAGGAGAGGGGACCAGATCTGGGCAGCAAGTAGGTTCCTAGGCTGGGATCTCATGAGAGACTTCCCCTGAGGTCTAGAGGAGAGGGGCCACCTTTTGGACAGGCCTCAGTCCTTGGTGCATGCGGCCCTGCCTGTGCCTTGGGAGCTGGCTTCCCGCTGCAGGGCAAAGCGTGGCTCAGCTATTCCCAGCTCCTGTCCCACCCAGCCTCTCCTCTCTGGGGTCACCTGTTTAGGTCTTATCCTCCTCTTGATTCCTTCTTTCCTTCTCTAATTGAACTTGAGAGCTGAAGGGGAGGGCAAACCTCACTGGAATCCAGCTCTGGCCACATTAGCTGTTTGACTGCCCAAGCTGTGTGGCACTAGACAAAGAGAGCCTCATTATTCACAGCACCCTTCCACCTTTCCTCCCCTGAGGACTCCAGAGTGGGCTCGGACCTGCCTATGATGGGAGGGGTGGAGAGTCCCCGGCAAGCTCCCGACCCCCAGCCTTTTCTTCACACGTGGAGGGGACTCATCAGAGGAAGGATTGTTGTAGGAATTAAATGATAATAACACACAGTGCCTACAGCAGAGCTACAGGAGTGGTCGTAGTCGCTACCGGGAAAGGGAATTTCCTAGTGGTGGCACTGGGGCTGGCTCTGCAGTAGAGACCAAGGCAGGCTTTCCTACTCCATCAGGCCAAGCTGTTAGAAAGAATCCTTCTCGCTCCTCCAGGTTGGGGAGGAAGGTTCTAGATAAGAGGATGAGGGTGGAGTTGGATGGGAACCTTCCAGGAGGGACTAGTAGTATGTGCTAGTTTTCAGGGTCCGTAAGGTGGGCACTGGTACCGAAGAACCATCAGCCTCCTACTCCGAGGTGCCTTTGGCAGGGCC